AGTCACTTGTTCAAATCTATAGAAAGACAAATATTTATGAACGGAGGGAGTATCTAGCTAACTGCTTACACGCTTGGCCTAGCTGCTTACAACGTGAGGTGACCTCAGGCCAACTCCACCGCGCAACTCCATTTTGTCCGGCCCCATCTGTTTGGGGTAAAACGGACAAACGAGGTGGCCCAGCGCGCGACGGCCCGGACCCATCTGCTCCGTTTTGTGTCCGGGCCGACCCATTTCGAGCGCAAACTTGCGCCGGGTTTGAGTCACGGCGGACAGCGAACGTCCGCGTCGGGGCCGCGTGGCAGGCAGCCACCTACCTCCCACCCGCCAACATAAATGCGCACGAGCGGGTGGCCTCACCTGTCATCCGCACAGCGAAGGGTCACCGTCCTTCTTAAATGGGAGGCCGTGGACCGGTCGTCGTCCACAGTTCCCACTCCGGCCCCTCTCTGCCCCCTCGAAACCCGACACCCTCGAAACCCTAGCCGCTCCCCGTCGTCCAACTCGCCGGCCAGCCGCAACCATGGGCCTTTGGAAGCACAACCGCAAGGGGAAGCACGACCGTGAGGTCGGCTCCCTCTCGGGACGCCACCGCGGCTCCGTCAAGAAGGAGGAGCTCGCATCACCGCCGCGCTCCTCCATTCGAGCCCCCGCGCCTGCCCCCTTCACTATCGCTCCTAGGGCCTTCGACGAGCGCAACCGGCGGTACCTGGCCGTGGATGTGTGCTGGTGGTACTGGGAGACGAGGACGCCGATCCCGTGCAGCGACGTGCACCTCCCCAACAACTGGGACCTCTTCGCGGACCGGGCTCCCATCCCGCCGGTGCCTGCGAGCGGCCGTGCCCGGCGCGATGAGAACGAGCGCCGCCGTCGCCTCCTCCCCGACGACCTATTCGACGACGAGAGGTACGCCCCCGACTCCGACCTCGCCGTTGCCTTCCCCATCTCCGTCGCCACCTCCACCTCCTCGCATGACAGCGGAGAAGGAGGCCCGACTCATGGCGCGTGTCATGGAGGACTCCATGCACACGCACGATGAGCGCCAATGGCCGGGCCTCGAGGAGACGATGGCCCTATCTGCGGCCGGCGACGTCGCCATCCCCGAGCTGCAGATGCTGCCGAAGGAGGAGGTGACGGAGGAGCCGCCGGTGGCCGCCTTCCACCCGGGCCTGGTTGGCCAGGGGTGGAGCTGGTCCTACACAGCGGAGCAGATGGCAGCCGCCGTGGGGGGCAACTGGTGCCCCGCGCCACCGCGGTCACCAGAGCGCGACGCCTCGCCTCGGGAGGAGGTGGTGCAGGCACCGGCCACCTTCCAGCCCGCCGCCCCCGTGCATCGTGGACCGCCGGCCCATCTCTGGACGCCGCCGTACTACGTCGACCTCTGCAGCGACGACGACGACACCGGCGGCCACTGAAGACGGCGACGGCGACGACCAAGGCGTGGACGGGCGCGGCAGCAGCGCGCGGACGGCTTTTTTTAATTTTGTTTTTATGTTAATTATGGAACTGGGCCGTTTAAGTGCGGCGTGAAACTGGACCATTTTGTGGCTGTGACCTTTATATATGTTTTAAGTTTTTTAAGTATGTTTATTTACCTTTTTAGGCATTTTATTTAACTTTTTTGTTTTTTTAATCACGTCCACCCGGACATGATTTGGGGTGCGGCCGCGCGCTGGGCGCACCCACGATCCAACGGACAAACGCGGACATGGGCGAACGCATCGCCGTCCCAAAAGAACAAAATCCGGCCGGACGTCCGTTTGGAATCGCGCGGTGTAGTTGGCCTCACCCGCAAACTGACCATGGCGGATTACCCGTGAAGGACCTTGGTAGCACCTTGCCTACCTCGAAACTGATGCCTTGCCGACCTGCTCGTGTACAGACGTGCGACCCTTGCGCCATGTCGCTTCTCGTAGCCGTGGCACACCACTACCAGCACTCTCGCTCTAGACCAGGCTGCTACCAGGACCAGCGATCCGTCCTGCCTCCGCGCGTCGACCTCCGGTGCACGCAGGTGTAGCAGCCTCCCGTGCACCGAGCGGCTCCGGCGAGGGTGTTCTCGTCGCGGTCTCCTGTGCACATAGCGACGACGACGTGCTCGTGGCCGCCTCCTGCCGTGCGTCAAGTGACGAGGGCGATGACGGGGCTGGCGACCGCCTCTCGGGCGTCGAGCACGAGGCTCATGGCCGCCTCCCGGGCGCCCAGCGACAACGGTGAGGGCTAGGCTAGTGTCGGCCACTCGTGCGCCCAGGGACGGCGGCAAGGGTGAGACTCATGGCGGCCTCCCGTGTGTCAAGCGACGGCGGCGAGTGTGAGGCTCATAGCGGCCTCCCGTGCGTGTGGCGTGGGTGAGGCTCATGGCAGCCTCTTGTGCGCCAAGCGGCGACGACGAGCACTCCACGCTGCCACTCCCGGTGTTCGATGCACTCGGAGCAGGGGCTCCCATAAGTGTGCTTGGCGAGGCAGATGGTCCTGGTTAGAAATAACACTTTGCTACACTGACATGTGGGTCATTGCACGAGGTGGCAGTATAAGTCAACCAACTAAATCGGGTCAGCGCATCACGTCGGCGAAACCATCCTCTATACCAGCTTGAAAGTATCTCATGGGGTGTTTTATCTGGCATTGCAAAGTATAGGGGATTAAGTGACTGGTTTTTGAGTTGAGGGGGTGATGTAGCCCAAACGTGAATGTTCACGGGGTTATATACACTTCTTTCTCACTGAGAGAGATGATAATAGATTAAAGCACTTCCAGTGTGCTACTGTAAGGCACTCTAATCAACTGAGTTTTCCATTCTGATCCTAGTAGTGAGAAGAATAAAATCCTAACGGACAGGGTAAGATGATCATCAAGATGTTATTCTGCCAACAGGAATTGTCGATTGCCTCGGAATAAATTAGTGCGTTCACTTTCACTTTGGAAATTTAGGACAGTGATAGCCAAATGGAATCCATCTCTTTACAGATCAAATGGATTCACCAACTTTTCCATTCACTCGGCCTAGCATTGTATGTTGTGCGTACAGTTCAGACTGTTAGCGGGCTAAGAACCTTAACTACATGTCAGCCTAGATCCAACCTGATGCCTGCAGCCTCAGGAGTCCCACTGGACGCATCGCGAGAAGCTGCAACTTTGGGGCCATCAGCACAGATGGTTCATTTCCATCCTATAGTTCCAAGTCAAGCGGCAGTCTATCTGCCAAAGACGAGATGCAGCAAGCCAGCAACTCTGCTCCAACCTGAATGCGACTCCTACGAACATCTCATGCTGCTTCAGTTATGCCAAATTCATCGGGGCTATTGCTTCTGAGAGCCTTCTGCCGGGGAGTGATCCCACAGAGGAGGCTACTATCCTGACGGACGAGGGTACTAATGGACAGAGGCGTGCTCATGAAAAACAGTGCTTGTTGCTCCCGTTGTCCATCTACCGGACAGCACCGGCGAGCACCAGCACCGTGTCATCACAAGAAGCGAGCAGCTCAGACGCCAACGGAGGCGTCGAGGAACCCCGCCATCGTCGTACGTGTACAGGGTGGCGTCACGATGCCATTCAATGTCGACAGTCTCAGCTCCTGCTGTGCTGAAGAACCAGAGCAGCAGCAGGGTGGAGGAGGTCCAAAGGAAGAAGAGCGAGAAGCTTGTGCTGTTCAATTCCATGGCTTCAAGCCAACAATGTTGGCTCCACAAGCTGAGTCCTCTTCTGACATAGGATTTTTTGTTTTCATGTGATCAAAACTAGAATCCCAGATTTTTTTCCCCGATAAAGGATGGATTTTATTGATTCATAACGGCAGATCAAGAGAATACAAGCATCACGAAGAACCTGTTGCTGGCAGAGGAAGCCACACAATATGTTTTCTATGATTGCGTTCTCAAGCATCACCCCCGTTTCATTTTCATCTCTTCATACAAACCACTAGACTTTCTCACACTACTAGTTCCAGTATCAATACCAGTCAGGCTTTTCTTACTAGTACTATATTTAGAGGCATTTGTTCCTCTGCTTGAAGTGTTTTCATCTCAAGTAACCATATAATCAATATACATTCCATCATGTTCATCCCTTAGCCCCATTTTCCCATTTGTATCGGTGCTTAAATAGCTAACCTATATCTAAAGAATTGCCATTGAGGCCAAATAGTCTCTCATGTGGGGTTTTGGATAGATCCCTACATCACCTTCACTCTACCTACCTAAAAGAGATTCTGGAAAAATTCCTTGTCGATCCACAGCTATATGGTTCTGGAAAAATCCCTTGCTCAAAAGGGACTCAAAATGGTATAAGGCACTCCCACACCACTTTTATTGTAGTCCTCTGATTTTAACACAAGCCTTCCTGGCCTTCCTGAGTATCAAAAACTCCAGACCTTACTTCAAAACTTCAACATTATATGTCACCCCTCCTTGAGCAAACCAAAAACATGGGTATCATACAACATCCTAACTGAGTGAAATGTGTCTAAAGGTATTCCGGGTGTGTCGGTGGGTCATACTAGTATCTGGTCCTAAAAGGTCTGACTTGCCCTCGCGACGCATTGTCCGAAGGCACATAGACTATTTTTAGAAACATAATAGACCCTAAGTCATATCTCCAGCCCAATTTTCAAAACCATACAAGAAATTGATCAACCCTTCTCCAGTCCCCCTATTCGTCTTGGTTACTATCTCAGCGAACTATCTCAGTGTTGGTTACTATCTGAGTGAACTGGCATGGCAAAATCAATGTTTGTCCCTTTCCCAACATCTAGGCAATGCAAATGTCAAAAAAACTAAACATCTAGGCAATATACAACCACCAAAAGACTTGCATTTCAACGAGTATATGACCAGATTCAGCATCAAAATGAAACATGTTGCCCTTTGTGCAATGGTAATCGCATATACGAGTTTTAAACAAGACTTACACACCTGAGACATTCATATAAATCACACATGAGATGATACTGAGAGCAAGTTGCTAAATGACACCGTGTCTTTGTTTCAGGAAACCCTCTCTGGTTATGTTTGACCTGCCAAGGCGTCGATCAGGAGCCGGTAGCCCTCTGGCACCTCTGCCTGGTGTCCCACGCACGCAGCCAGAGTAGGAACGTCGGCCTTGACATCCAGGAAAGCAGCGATCTGGAGAAGCAGGTGGAAATCAGAGATCCGCTTGACGAACGGGAGATGCTTTGCACGATCCATGTGGCTCCTGAGAGCGTTCGCCGGTAGAGGAATTCCACGGTTTTCAATCGGAAATCCCATTGAGAGCGGGCCCTGGTGATCGGAGATCTTCACGGGCACCAGGAAGAAGTCGTTGTCCACCTCCATGGTGTCTTTCCCTCCTGCAATCACCTCCTTGCGCATCTTGGACAGGCGGGGGTCGTCGGAGTCCTGGATCTCCGTCTCCAGCACGCCGTCCTTGAACAGCTTGACGCAGACCTCGCTCATCTGGAACGCCTCGAAGTGCACGTCCGCCGAGCCATCCTCCCCCACCTCCAGCTTCACCACGGCGGTGACCCACTCCGGGATCCCGCCCTCTGCCTGCAGCTGGGCGGCCTGGACCACCTCGCTGTTGGACAGGGTGTACTCGCCCGTCTCGCTGGCCTTCCTCCCTACTGCCTGTGTGAAGACGAACCCTACCCGGCGCATGCCGAGCCCGTCGGCGATGGCGTCGACGCGGGCCTCCTCGTCGGCGTCCCGCATCAGGTGGACCACGTCCGAGGACCCCTGCTGCGGCGGCTCGTAGATGAAGTCGACCAGCACCTCCTTGGTCTCGGCGTCGACGCGGCCGTAGAGGAAGCCCGCGCGCTTGACGGCGAAGGCGAGCGACTCGGAGACGTGGAGCTGGAAGGCGTTGGCCGAGTCGCGGTCGAAGGAGGCCGCGGAGCAGAAGGGCGCCTCCTGGCGGGTGACCCGGATCTGGCGCGCGATGAGGTCGTCCATGGTCATCTTCTTGCCGAAGGAGCCGGCGGCGGTGAGGGCCCGGGGCGCCGGCGGCTGGGCGGAGCGCGCGCCGGGCGGGTACGAGAGGTAGACGAAGGAGCCGTTGGCGAGGGGCAGGGAGGCGAGCGGCGCGGCCGGGTCGGAGAGGAGCGGCGGCTGCGGGGCGGGGAGGAGCAGCGCCGGGTCGAGGGAGAGGCGCTGGGCGGCGACGGGCACGGTGGCGCGCGCCTCGATGAGGCGCTGCAGGTCGCCGACGGTGGCGGCGGCCGCGTCCGGCACCGTGATGCGGTCAGTGCCGTCGCGGCTGCGGATGCGGAGGATCATCGCGGCGGCTGCGGATGCTTTTTTTTTCCCTTTCTTTTCCCCTTCTGAGGGAAGGAATCGCAGCGGCTGCTTTGGGTTGGGTTCTGCTTGGCTACTTGCCTTCGGCGGTGGTGGGTGTATGTAGAGTTAAAGGCGCGTCTGTATGAGCCCGTGTCGGGCAGCAACATGGGCCGGCACGGGCTCTTTCTCCGATTCTGTGGCTGGAGTCCCGCTTACCTTCGGTTGATGGGTCGGCCCAGCAACATGCGTGGCAGGCACCCGAATGTTCTTTTTTTTTTGGCATGTAGTAGATGAGTTTTCTGTGGTTCTCTTATCATTTTGTTTTTGCAGCGGTTTTTCCTTAGTATTGTAGGGTCATTATGTGGTTTAATTTCTTCTCTGGGTTTTCAGCCTTTTTTGTCACCCTTTGCATTTCAAATTTGTTTCATAGTGCATTTTAGAAATATATTAATCATGCATTATAAATTATTTTCATTTAATAATTTTCACGAAATATCACAATGTATTAAGAAAGTTCACTGGATGTTAAGAAAGATCTTCATCTATACTAATATAAAAAAAACAAATGGCAGATTCAATAAATCTCGGCCGTCAAACCATGTCAATCCAACAACTTATATTGCTTCAACGGCAAGCGCTCAACATGTTTAGCATGCAATTAATATCATATCAAATATCAGCGTCTACTACTATTCATGTAATTAACACATAACTGATATCATACCTAATATTAACTTGTAATTAATTTTCTCCTAAATATTAATGTGGGTTGCACGTATGCATTTACAAGTAGTATATTAAAGATGCTCATCATAAATTACAAAAAATGTTCATCCTATATCAGTTTTTTGTTGTGTTTTAAAATAGTACTTGCCATGCATTTAAATTAATATGCAATATCATTTTTAAATGAATAATTTTTCATACATGATGAATACTTTTAGTACCCATTGAATTTTTAATATTAATGGGGTATATTATTTCAATACGCGGTGAACCAATTTAAAGTACGAGGCGAACATTTTTTTTACACATGGTGAACACTTCTTAAATTGTTGGAGAGGTGCTTGCTCGGGCTTTTCTAGCTGACTTTGTTTGCGTATACTCGAATGGTGGACGTTGTCAGGGCTGCTGTGCCGGCTGATACTGTTTCGTCCACTTGAATGTGTGGGTGTGGGTGTGAGCGGCGCCCGGTCCCAATTGTTGGAGAGGTGCTTGCTCGGGCTTTCTGACCACCTAGCTTTCGGGTTTCTTTGGCCGTCCCTCTTTGTGGCCACCTGTTTTTTTTGGCGTTGTCGGGTTACAACGCCGCTTGGTCTAGAGTGTTGTCACGCTGGCTGCTTGGCCTTTCCCGACTAGGTTGTTCATTGCTCCAGGTGTTAATTGTATTGGGAAATATAGTACTCCTTTCATCTCAGTTTACAAGTCTTGCATGTGTATCTAGGTTGTCAATTTAACTTATATAAAATAAATTGTTTAACATAAAAATTATAGCATTAGAAAATAGAATATCTAAGGTTTCTAATGATATATTTTTTGTAATGTATGCCTCCTATTAAGTTGGTCAAATTAACGACCTAGGCACACGTGCAAGACTTGCAAACTAAGATAGAGGGAGTAGAAAACAAAAAAAATTGCCCTACGATCAATCAGGAACACTATGAAAATGCAACAACGGTTTGTATCGGATCGTTACCAACTCCGAGTTGAAGCGGAAGAAGACGAGTCGGTGTAGATCGTACTTGAAGTGCCTCGAAGCGTCGATGAATGATCTCTCAAACCGTCCACGAACAGTCCCTCGAACGGAAGACCAAAAGCATGACCTCTCCACAAATTGCAAGTGTATGGTCTTCATGATACGGCAACGCTTCATCGTCCAGATCTAATCATTGCCAAAGAATTAGAGGGAGAAGATTAGAACCACACAGGGCTTCTAATTGCAAGGATTAGAGGATCTAGGTCTAACTCTAATTGGATCAACTAGAACTAGAACTAGAGAACTAGAGAAGGCTCCAAAATTTGTGTGTCCAAAGACCAAAATCCTCTAGTATATAGGTTGGAGGAGAGGGGAGGGGCACCACAAGCGGGAAAGTTTTCCCTTTCCCCTTGCGCCGACCAAAGAGGGGGAATCCCCCTCCAATTCAGCCTTCCTCCTTCCTTCCCCAAGTGGGAAGGGGGGGCCTCCCTATTGGGCCCAAGTAGCTTTCCACCACATGGTCTTTTTAGCCCCATTGATAGTTTTTGCTCAAAAAAGCACCATTGATATTTAAATAAATATAAAAGTCTCCTAATCATATTTAGAGCCTTTTAATATTAATTTAACATCACTTGAAACTATTTCCACCTATATATAATTTATCAGTATTACCCGAAAACCCCGAAACTCTTCTGGTTCCTCTCAAAACTATTTCGAATATTAATGAAACTATTTCATCAATATTTTCTCATTAATCCTATCCTACTAACACTAATCAAATAGTGATTAACTTAAACTTGTGACCCTATAGTTTTGGTAAAACATAGACATGAGCAAGACCCCTTTCGTTTAATGACCGATAGCAGAACTGTGGACATCCATATCGACCCCTATGAGTACAGGAATGACATTCGGGTGAAACTTTGGTTATCATGTGCTAT